TTTTTTTTCTTGAGGAAGAGTGGCCCTGAGCTAACATCCATCCCCATCTTTCTCTACTTTATATGGGACACCGCCACAGCATGGCTTGATAAGTGGTGCATAGGTCCGTACCATGGATCCGAACCTCCGAACCCCAGGCCGCTGAAGCGGAGAGCGTGAACTTAACCACTAGGCCACTAGGCCAGCCATGAGAAAGGCATTTAGACATGAAGAACTATGACTAAGGATGGTTAAGTAGGCAGTTTGACTGAAATCAAGAATACATTTAAGGGAATAGTAAGAGAAGAATTGGAAAGGTGGTTTGTAGAGGAGCATAAATGTCAGGTTAAAAGTTAGAGGCCACCAGCACTGCTTACCTTTCAACATGTCGATGTCATCACGTTCTATTTCAGCCATCCATTTGGGTGGAGAGCTAGTAATAGGCTGTCAGAAAATAAAAATATATCCATTCAGATACATACAAAATGTGAAGAGACCCTACTCTTCCTTCTTATAAGAAAAGTAACTTGTCACACAGCCTTCAGGTTGCTTGAAAATACTGGCAAATTATAATTTCAAAGACCTAGATTTCCTCAGGTTCAGATACGGCCTACAAAGTCACCTTACAAAATAATACTGTTCATCTTTAAAGTCAGTCTCAGAGAATTCAATCCATTTACATTTAGAGTGATTATTTATATATGAGGGCTTAATGTTGCTATTTTATCACTCATTTTCCAGTTCTTTTGCATTTGCTTTCTTTCTCATCCTGTGTGTTTCAGACTACCAATTCAGTTTGGTAGTTCTGTATGATCTTTTCCTTAGTTTGCTCTTTACTTACCATACGTGTTTCTGTTCTGATTATTTGTTTAGTGGTTACCATGAGGTTTGTATAAAAAATCTCGTAGATGAGATAGTCCATTTTCTGACGGCCTCTTATTTCCTTAGACTAAGTCAATTACATCCCATTCCTCTTCCCCTTCTCAGTTATTATTGTCAGAATTTATTCCATCTTGTGTTGTGAGTTTGTGTTTAAAGTGACGAGGTTATATTTATTTTTTGGTATTTTCCTTCCCTTAATCTTTGATGTTATAATTAAGCATTTCTAACCTATTCTGATAGAGAGCTGCAATTTTTCTCATTTTGTCTACGTATTTTTCTCGTTGCTTAAAGGTTTGTAACCCTTTTCTCTTTTTTTTTTCAGGCATGAGGGCCTTCTTGAGCATTTGTTGTAGTGGGGGGCTTGT